CTTTTTGTGCTGGCGACCCCATTTAGACTTAAAAAAAATTGTGACCCCCCACTAGAAAAAATTATGATTCCCTACCTTTAGCCCCCCTTGGGGTGTGGGGTTCTGGCCTTCAGCCCCCGCGAATTAACACATTACTTGTGCTGTGAATTAATCCTTAATTGACAGCCCTAGTGCAAAGCGAAAGGCCATGGGGACTTATCAGTTGGAAGTGACAGAGAAGGAATAAGACCTGGGTATATTGATTGATGACTATGAGCTGCCAACGTGATGCAGCAGTGAAAAAGGTTAATTCAATCCTAGGATGCATCAGGCAAGGTATTTTCTGCAGAGATAGGGAAGCGTTATTACCACTTGTACTATTATAAAGTACAGGTGAGATCTCATCTGGAATATTGGATGCAATTCTGATCTCCTGTGTTTAACAAAGGTGACTTCAAACTGCAACAGGTTCAGAGAAGGGCTGCTAGGAGGATCGGAGGAATGGAGAAACTACCTTACAAGAGGAGACTTAAGGATCTTGGCTTGTTTTAGCCTAACAAAACAAAGAGTGAGGGGAGGTATGATCGCTTTCAATAAATACATCAGAGGGATAAGCATCAGGGAGAGAGAGGTGCTATTTAAGTTAAGGGCCAGGGGTAGTACAAGAACAAATGGATATAAACTGACCATCAACAAATTTAGGCTTGAAGTTAGATGAAAGTTTAAGTTCTGGCGCAGCCTTCCAAGGGGAGCAGTGTGGGAAAATAAACTAACTTGTTTCAAGACTGAGCTTTATAAGTAGGACTATCAAGAGATTAAAAAAATTAGTCACGATTAATCATAGTTTTGATCGCACTGCATAAAAAGACAGTTACCTGTAGCTTTTGCAAGGCTAAGTTCCAATACCATCAAAGTACTTCAAGTCTGCAGTACCACCTACACGCTAAACATGCTCTCGCCTCCAGTTCTTGTGCTACAGATAACCCACCGACAGCAAATGAATCCCGCGAGCCGTGACAGAGTAACCTTACAGAGTTTCAGGATCACTACAAGCTGATGGATCAAAGGAAGTGCAACAGCTTAACTAATGTTATTGCAAAGTGAATAGCTATGGACTGCAGACCACTCAACATTGTAAATGACAGAGAACAAAGAGAGGTTATTCAAATTGCATTTTCCAATCAGTCACACCACCCGAGGAACCATTGCATCATGAATACATGACCTATATCACAATGAGAAGACTACAAAGTCAGAGCTCCTGAAAAATGCACTGCTTGCTTTGACTGGTGATCCTTGGACATCTTTGAGCAATCACAACTATCTTGGAGTCACAGCACATCTGATTGATGCTGCATGGACACTGCAGTCATTTGCTTTAGCAGTAATGCCTACTGAAGAGAGATATTATGCTGAAAAATGTGTAGAGCATGTCTTAGATGTTGCGAAAGAATGGAATATTCAAGAAAAGGTAACAATAATTAGTACTAACAGTGCAATCAAAACTGCCATTAACCACAATTACTTTTTTTAAATCACAATTAATTTGTTTTGAGTTAATCACTGAGTTAATTGCGATTAATAGACTGCCATAGGTGAGAGCAATTAACCACTGGAACAACTTAAACTGTGGTGGATTCTCCATCACTGACAATTTATATATCAAGAATGGATGTTTTTTGGAAGATACGCTCTAAGAATTATTTTGGGGAAGTTCTACAGTATGTGTTATATAGGAGATCAGACCAGATGATCATCATAGTCCCTTTTGACCTGGGAATCTATTAAGCAATTCTGTGATGTCTCACTGTGACATCCCAATGAACAGCAAGTAGTTTTTCCAATAATAATATATATTGTGACTCTGGCAGACCAGGTGCCAGCTCATGCCAAGGCATGTAGGCCTCAGCTGAACACTAACAAATAAATAGCTGAAACCAGTCGGGCTCACCTGTGTGTAAATATTGTTAAAATAGATATTAGAGTTATAAGAATGTGTTTAGTTTTTAGACTTTATGAAATGCTTGTAGGATACTGCATGTATTAATCTCGCTTACAACATCTGTACTCCATGATATAAAGTGGTATTAAATGTTTGCCTTGTAATCCTCTGCATTTGTGGAAGTCACCAAACAGGAAAGAAGCATTAATTAATGTAAAATGCTGGTTTCCTACAGAAGGTGTTAGTTCCTGTCCATCAAGACGGTCCATTGAAACCAAATGAGCCATTGTGAAACATCAAAGAACAAAGACTTAGTAAATTGCATTCCTCCCCTTCTTCCCCTCAGGAAGAGGAGACATTGCATGAACTCATCCCATCACCCTGAACTCTGAAAAATCCCTCACAAGAAGAAACTGTATCTCTTTGCTGCTTGGATTTTGGGACAGAAAGATTTCTAAGCATAAGCAAGGGATCCCCAGCTGCCTAGCCTAGGTTAGCCCTAAAGGAGATATAGAACCTGAATATTACAGCAGCTTCTATCATCTTTGGAACCTAAAACTAACTCATTCATGAGTGCTGTGATACAGGAGGGCCAGGGAGCAGTGGTAGAGGGGAAATATATAAACCCTAGGCTAATTAAGGTGTGGTTCCCTGTAGACTAGGGAGGGTTACTACAGGTTAATTGGAGCACCTGCAGTCAATTAAGGCCCTGTCAGGAACCTAATAAAAGCCCCTGCTTCAGGCAGACAGAAAAAAGGAGGAAGGAGAGAGGACTAGAGCTTGGAGGCATGCTGTGAGACTTGAAAGATCAGAGAACTGCAGTAAGGGAGACTCTACCCCAGTGTCTAAGGACTGAAGGTACCCCACCCAAGGGGGAAGAGGGTAAGAACCTGCAGGAGTTGAGAGGGGCTGGGGGCTCAGAGTGAGGAGCAAACCCAGACCACTCTCCCGCTTCCCTCCTTTACCACCTTCCCAGGCCACTGGCCAAGAGAAGTACAGGACCCACCGTACTAACATTGGCCAATTTTGTCACAGTGTATATTTATCTGCTTTAACCTTATAAATAACTCATTTTTTTTCTTAGTTAAATCTTTAGATTGTTTGTTTATTATAGGATTGGCTACAAGCATTCTTTGGTATAAGAACTAGAATGCAATTGACCTGGGGTAAGTGATCTGCCCTTTGGGATTGGGAGTAACCTGAATATCACTGTGATTTTTGGTGTCCGGGATCATCTATCACAAAGGTAACCTTGCTTAGGTGGCAGAATAGATTGGAATACCCCCAGGCAATGTCTGACTCCTGTTTTGGTGCCTGAGGAGTTTATATTTGGTTAGTGAAATGTACGTATAGAACTCTCAGCCAGTTTGGGCTTTATGTTGTTTCCTGACAGCCTGCCCTGAAATTGGTACTCATGCTTTTGAGCCCCTGGAGGACAGCTTGACATATATAACACTTAACTCTTACATAGAGATTTTCATTTGTAGATTTACAGTGAATAATATGTATCATTATTGTCATACTCCCTAGTCAGGCTGCCCCTTTTGAGACCCTTTTACAGACTCCTGAGTGCACCCCTCTTGAGTCGGAGGACTGTGCCTCTATTTCTCGTTGGGACGGGACCCTGTAACCCAACCACACACCTCCATGGGTGCCAGCTGTGTTGCCTACCAGCCCAACAGAGCTTGGGGCCCTCCTCCTGTGATCAGTAATAACATGCAATAACACAGAAGCAGATTCTCCAAAAGAAAGTATGATTTATTTTGTCCAATTGGTACATAAGAGTATGAAGAGACCTATATTATTTTACTTATGCCTGGCATTCTCCTATCCCCTTTGTGGACTTGACTTGGTGTCCCTGTGCTCTCTGGGCACCAAGTTACAGTTCACTTGCTGCAGACTGTAACTCCCCAGTCAGTGTGTGTCCGCCTTCCTACAGGCTGACTCTGTTACTGTCAGCTTCCAGCTGAGCAGACCACTCCCACTCATACCCCATTTTCTGCCAGGGGCATCTTTTTAACTCCTCAGGATATTTTGATCTCAGCCCTTGCCTTGGGAAGAGAATATCACTTCCTTGATTTTACTTTTACAGCTCCCTTTGATTTGATTATGCATTCAGGCAGGTAACAATACGAAACCGAACCGGGAAACAGGGTCACACATAAGATTAATAAGACTAATAAGCCATTTTCCTGATTTGTCACATCATTATCCCCATTTTAGTCACAAAGCAGATCAATGTCTGAGTCAGAAATAGAACTCAGGTGTCCTGACTATGACCCAAGTGGATGATGCTCCTTCTCAATAGTGGAACATCTTTAATGGCAGTAATTGTTTTGCCTGTATTTCTTTGGGGAGTGATGCAAAACACATGGTGAAAGCAGCTGCGGGGTAGCTATAGTAGTAATGAAAATTCCTTTTTAGCACAGCCTATTTCTAGGTAAAAGGTTTCAAACACAAATGTCTCCAATCTGACATTTGGAAGCTCAAATCAGCACTTAGTATATAAGTAAATACATTTTTTTTGGCTTTTGGCCAAAAGCAAAATTTGGACACCCTAATAAGACCATCATGTTTGAAAACTGGGTTTCCCGCATTTAATACTGACAACATGGATGAGTAATGTCTTCTATTGGACCAGCTTCTGTTGGTGAGAGAGACAAGCTTTTGAGCTTACATGGAACTCTTCTTCAGGTCAGGTCATGTTTAATACTGCAGTTTGTCACAACATCCAAAATAAAACAAGTCTTTTTAATCATCCCACTATGATGCTCTAATCCTGCTTGCAACATAGAAAATCCTTGATTCTGAACATCTTTTAAAATGTCTTTCTCTGATATTTTTCTGTATATGATATGCTCTTAGAGGGCACAATAGGAGAAGGCCATTTTATACAGAGAGGTAACTAAGCAGTGAACACAGTATATCTTAGTATTTGATTCTGCATATTTGCAAAATGAAACCTTATAATTTAACACTCAATCCTGTAAAATGCTGAGCCCTCTGGAGCCAGTCCACTGGGCCAGACTACTTAACACCTTGCAGGACCAAGCCCTTAGCAGGCATCACTGATTCTTACCTTTGCTGTCTGTAAAGTTCCGTATACTGAGGATGTCATTAAGATCCTGATAGTGGTTCTGCTTAATGTATGTTGTCTTCTCAGGTGTGTCCTGGAGCTGCATAGTAACCTCTTCTAAATCTTTGTCTAGCTATAAAACAAAAACACAGTACAAGAAATCTAATGAGTGGGAACTAGGGCTGTCAAGTGATTAAAAAAAATAAAATAATCACGATTAATCGCACAATTAAAAAAATTAATCATGATTGTGCGATTAATCGCAGAGTTAAACAATAATAGAATACCATTTATTTAATTTTTGATGTTTTCTACATTTTCAAATATATTGATTTCAATTACAACACAGAATAAAAAGTGTACATTGCTCACTTTATATATATATTTTTGATTACCAATATTTGCACTGTAAAAACCAAAAAAGATAGCATTTTCATTTCACCTAATACAAGTACTGTAGTGCAATCTCTTTATCATGAAAGTTGAACTTACAAATGTAGAATTATGTACAAAAAAAACTGCATTCAAAAATAAAACAATGTAAAACTTTAGAGCCTGCAAGTCTACTCAGTCCTATTTCTTGTTCAGCCAATCGCTCAGATAAACAAGCTTGTCTACATTTGCTGGAGATAATGCTGTCCACTTCTTGTTCGCAATGTCACCTGAAAGTGATAACAGGTGTTTGCATAGCACTATTGTAGCTGGTTTTGCAAGATATTTACATGCCAGATGTGCTAAAGATTCATATGTCCCTTCATGCTTCAACCACCATTCCAAAGGTAGTCCAGGCTGATGACTGGTTCTGCTCGATAACAATCCAAAGCAGTGTGGACTGACGCATGTTCATTTTCATCATCTGAGTCAGATTTCACCAGCAGAAGGTTGATTTTCTTTTTTGGTGATTTGGGTTCTGTAGTTTTCGCATCAGAGCGTTGCTCTTTGAAGACTTTTGAAAGCATGCTCAACACCTCATCCCTCTCAGATTTTAGAAGGCACTTCAGATTCTTAAATCTTGGGCCGACTGCTGTAGCTATCTTTAGAAATCTCACATGGTACCTTCTTTGCGTTTTGTCAAATCTGCAGTGAAAGTGTTCTTAAAATGAACATGTGCTGAGTCATCTGAGATTATTATAACATGAAATATATTATGTGAACGCCTGGTCTCACTTTCTGATGACATTGTAAATAAGAAGAGGGCACCATTATCTCCCTGTAAATGTAAACAAACTTGTTTGTCTTAGCAATTAGCTGAATGAGAAGTAGGACTTGTAGGCTCTAAAGTTTTGCATTGTTTTGTTTTTTAAGTGCAATTATGTAACAAAAAAATCTACATTTATAACTTACACTTTCATGATAAAGAGGTTGCATTATAGTACTTGTATGAGGTGAATTGAAAAATACTGTCTTTTGTTCAGTTTTACAATACAAATATTTGTAATAAAAATAATGTAAAGTTAGCAGTGTACACTTTGTATTCTGTGTTGCAACTGAAATCAATATATTTGAAAATGTAGAAAAAAATCCAAAAATATTAAATTTCAATTGGTATTCTATTGTTTAACAGTGTGATTAAAAATGCAATTAATTGCAATTAAGTTTTTTAATAGTGATTGATTTTTTGAGTTCATCACATGAGTTAACTGTTAATCAACAGCCCTAGTGGGAGCCATTAAAAACTCAAGTCACTGCTTCCAGTATCTGCAGTAAATGCATAGCTTTCATAATTAGAATAGCAGACAGCTTGGCATTGCAATTACTGCAGTGTGTCAAATAGTGAGTTTTAATAGAACGCCTATAGTACCTCCAAAAGTCATGCTAAAGGTACCAAAATGAGTTAAAGTGGAAAGCTGTTCAGATAGGACTCTAAATAGCCAATAATTATGGTTATTTGCTAGAGATAACATACACATGAAAAGAACAAGCTGCTGTGTCATTTAGTACTTTTCATTTTAGTTAAGCAAATTTTACTTCACATGACATTGTCGTCTTGCTGAATAAGAGAGTGAGTCCCTTGACACTGGCATGCCTTGTATGGAAACCTCTTAATTTCATTCACTGCACGTGCATTACAGATGTACTATAGGTGGCTACTACATTGATTTCTACAGCAAGCTGAATGCAGCCCTTTGTAGGAATTCTCAGTTATTTTTACATTTGACCTTGTCTGAGTCAGTGCAGCAGTAATGCACAAATATTCAGTCATTTAGCAGATTCAGTAATCAAATAATATATGAAATGTCAAAATATGTAAAGAGAAAGCATTTAAACAAGAGAATGATATAATCATGTTGTACAGGAGTTAAGACTAGGAGATCATAATGCTGCGTCTGGCTTTCATATTTATGGGAGGGATTCTCTGTGCTGCTCCTGACCCTGTAGGCCACTGAGCCAGCGTATGAGACCCTAATGGCACCACAAGGAGCTTGGAGAGAATTCCCCAGTGTAGGGTCTATGCACAAGATGTGTGTTGGGGTGGAATGAGGCATGTTAGAAGAAGCTGAGTGATCTCCATAGTGTACATTGCTATACCAGTTATGGACACTGCGGGGTGCACAGCCCAGGCAGGAAATGCCAGAGCTTAGGTCAGCCCTGGCCTGTTTTAAGTTGTGTTGGAAGCAACGCTTGCCCATAACCAGCCAGAATCCTGAGAGTGCAAATGTGACCCTTTTCTCCCTGAGCTGCTTTTGTGCCCTGCGCCTCCTGGAGTCATGTCTCACACACTCACCCTATGAAAACATTTTCTTATAATAATAACAAAGTAGCACGGACATAATTAACTCATTTGTTTAGTTTTGGCAATTAAAAAAGGAACTTATCCAAACTGTTGCATCACGGATGTGACTATAAAGTCAAGACTACAGGAAGCATTTCATTCTTTTAAATGAGACAAGATAGGTGAGAATCTCTCTTATTGGACCAACTTCTGTTGGTGAAAGACAAGCTTTTGAGCTTACACAGGATCTGAAGAAGAGATCTGTGTATGCTCAAATGCTTGTCTCTTTCACAAAGAGAAGTTGGTTCAATTAAAGATATTACCTCACCCACCTTGCTTCTCTAATATCCTGGGACAAACTACAGTTTTTTAAATGCTATCTTCACTCCCTCTTAACCTTCTCAGAGAAACTCCTTTTATGAGGATGTTTTTCTGTAATTCAGCTCAGAGGTGGCATTTTTGGAAGGTTTGAAGAAAATCAAGCTCATCATTTCAGAATGAGAGTTGAGAAAGTTCCATGCTTTCTGTGATTTGAAAATTATTTTCTAACTTTTTAGATCCTTCATAACTCAAACTGACCAACCTGCCAGTCAGCAGGTGGCCATTCAGTGGCTGTTTTTGGTTGGCATTGCCCTTGGTACCAGCCTCCAGGCAAGGGGGAAAACATCCTGAACTCTTTGAAAGCATCCTTCAGACTGTAGGAAGAGAGAAGCAAAGACCTCTTCCCCAGCAACATGCCTGGAAGATCAAGAGAGAACACTGGCCTGCTGCACTTGCACCATACAGGAATGTATAGAAACAAAGAATGACCTCCCCGAGGGCTAGACTGTGCTAGTAGGTACAGCCCTGAGTAGGGAGTAGAGGAGGGTCTGGATTGTGATTACTCCGGATACTTACAAGGACTCCTTGTACCACTCTCTTTATACAATTTTAGGGACAATCTGTCCCCAGAATTTGATCTGGTTCTAGAACGGAGACTGTAATAATGAATTAAGGTGTGCATTTAACTTTACATTGCTTCTTTATGAATCTCAGATCCAGAACATGATGAAGGTAAGACGTAGAGGTAGTCACAGGCTTTAATAGAATGAGCCCTCAGTTCTTCTGACACTGGAACTCTTGATTGCTCTTAGCAGGTTTTGGTATCTAGTTTAATCCATATAGACAAAGTCTGAACAGAAAGAACTTCTACTCTTGGACCCCTCTGCAAATGCTATGAAGAACAAGTATGATTTCCAACATGGTTTGTTCCTATTCTGGTAATAGCGAAGTTCTTTTTACATCCAATTTACATAGTCTGGCCTCTCTAGATATACTCAAAGGCTCTGATTGGCAGACTCGGAGCTCGATGCTATAATTCAGATGGAATTCTGACACCATCTTGGGCAACAATTTTGGGATGAAGATTTCTTTGTGGAAAAAATGTAACAGGAGAATTTCTTTCCCTCTCTCATTGACCTAACTGCATTAGGAGGGTTATGAATTGGTAGGTACAAATGCAATAACCCTTTTAAGAAAATGTTTCACACGAGGGTGAGTAAAACAGATCTCAATGTCACATGAGTGGTAAGCAGAAACTACCACCAGGTGTAATTTAATCATGCAGTAGACAAGCCAGTCTTCATTAAAAATGGCAAGAATTCTAAGATGAAAGGGACGGAGCAGGTGAGTGATGGGAGAAAGCAGAGTTGGGTGGCCAGGATAAGGAGGAACTGCCCTAGGCTGGGCAGGGAGTGGAGCACTGAGCTGGGGAGGTGTCAGTGAGTGACCAGGATGGCCCTGGGGGTGAGGGGCTCAGGGAGAGTTGTGGGCTATTAGATGAGTGGGAGGTGTTGGGGAGGGGTTCAAGGTGAGATATTGGGGATAAGTGGGGGTGCTGGGGGGAGATGGGGTGAGTTGTGGGGGCTGTGGGGGAATGGGGGATGTTGGGAAGTGTGGTCAGTGGGGCTGAGGGGTTGGAGTTGTGGTGAGTGGGGTATATATCAGGACTGCTGCGATGTGCGTAGGGCCTGTCACAACAAGCAAGGACTGGTGGAGGATTGTTGGGGCATACGTGGGGTGGAAGGAGAATTCTGGTGTCTGTGTGTGGGGTGGGACACTTTAGGAAGGAGGGGCCCTCCAATTACCATAGTGCACAGTCCCAAAATTCTTTAATCTGACCCTGCTCCTGGCCTTAAACTTCTGTGAATAATTTGTAGTACTAGCTGTGGAATTAGCTTAACAAATGTAAAAGCCATTTATTCTTCTAAATAAACATTGACACAGCTTTGAGAGATGGTGGTGAAAATGGTTCTGTAGGAAGGTGGGAAGAGAAGATGTGAGGGCAGCTGGCGCTGCATGCCTTTTATAACAGGGAGCAGAATGCCTGGAACTATCACCACTGACTAATTGCTTTAAAGTGGGTCAGGGACTCAGGAGGCTCAGTGGTTAATTCCTACAATGTGGATTTGCTAAGGCAACCAGATAGAGGAGAACCTTGGCTTTCCCTAGTGAGTGCACACTGTGCCATCTGGGTTGAATCAGGCTCCAGGATCAGCTGCAGAAGGGTGACAATGGGAGCAAGAAGAAAAGGAGTACTTGTGGCACCTTAGAGACTAACCAATTTATTTGAGCATAAGCTTTCGTGAGCTACAGCTCACTTCAATACCCTCTTGCTGAATGGGGAGGTAGGGCAGGATACCCACTGCCCTAAAAACCTTACCAAGGACCTTAGGTGGCAGCAGGTCCCCTTGCCAGCTCTCTGAAGACAAAGCTGCTGTGTTTCCCTTAACATGTTTCCAAGTCAGAAGGGAGACCCACACTTGTTGAATTTTGATATTTGCATTCAGAGACTAGAACACCACACAAGTATTAGGCCATAATAGGAATTTTACAGTATGGAAGTGGCAACCAGGATCAGTCACATTTTGCTAGGCACTGTACAGACACAGGCACAGAGAGGTGAAGTGACCTGCCCAAGGTCATACAACATTTAAGCAGCAGAAATGGGAACAGAATCCAGATGTCCTGATCCACAGCATAGTATCCACTAGACCACCCTACCTCTGCTACCTCAAAATTGGGGTATTGGACCAACTCAGTAAAAGTGGAACTATTACTGGGATGCTGCAAGGGACAATAAAAAATGTTAATATACCATACCTACTCTTTGAGTCCCATGGTGGTCATGATATAAGGTTTGCACTCTTACAACTACATCTGCACGACTAGAGGTGTTCAGTCTGTCTACAGGTAGCATAAGAGTTAATGTACCTGTTGTGAATTCTCAGAAATGAGGGAAGTTGCACATAAAGCTGATACAGGTGTCACCTGTGATATGAAGTCTCATCTATATTAGTTTATAAGTATGACAATACTTATGATTTTAATTTTTTCCCCCACTTGTTAACCATCTTTCTTTAGAAACACAGGATAAAATTATGAGGTTTTAGTTGAAAAAAATGAGTAAGGTTAAGCTTTGTATGGCTTTACGGCTATGCAAATAAAGTATTTCATCCACAGGACAGATTTATCTGGTTTAGTGTATATAATAAGTGATACCTCTGTGATTTTCATTCTCAAGCGGTGGTTTTCTGACTGCAGTCCTTCTAGCCGAGATGTACTGGCTTGATTGACACTGGTGACTGATGTTGATGTTTTTGAGTCTTCTTTCTTTTGATTTTGAGTGAATTGGAAACGTCTGTTCTGAGTGGCCGCATCAGGATTTGTCCTCAGTGTGATTAACTGAAAGGTTTAAAAGCTGTGAGAAATTCTGCAGAGGATTTTATTTTTATATCAGTTTCTTCTGGGCTCCCAAATAAAAATAATAGAAGGTACACTTTACTTTCCACATGGAGTACAGTTTCTCTGACCATGCAGACTACTTGTCGAGCAATAATAACCTTGCAAGATGAACTGTTCTAATTTTTCCAATTATTGGGAAATGTTTCTTTAAGTTCCACTTAAATATATTATTTTTAAACTTTACTGCATCATCCCTTGTTAGTTCTTTCATTAATATTTTCATCCTTCAAAGGGAAACATTCAACTTAAAAATCACACTTCTGTCTGAAAATTTCTTATACCCTATAGTTCCAAGGAATGTGGTGAGCAGAGAGAAGCCCCAGACAGAATGAGAGAGAGAGGTACCGACAAAGTGAGCACAAGGAATTTAGACGGGGTGGGAGTTCAGCAGCAGGAGAGGAGGACTAGGCTCCTTAATTAGCCATTAGTAGACTAAAAAAATGAATAGCCATTCAAATAAATTAAATGCACAACATTTTTTATAAAAGGTTAATCTCAAACCTAAAGATAAACCCTAGCAGCCAGTGACAGAGAACCCCACCTTTTAAATACAAAGGTAGAAGGTCAGCAGCAGTTTAACAAGGGTGGGGGCTACCCAGTTTACTTCAGAGAGTGCAAACCTATGACTATTTACCAAGTGACATGTATAAACCCACTTCAAGCCTCTCACGGCCCTCAAGCACAGTATAGCCTGTTAAGGACAAAGCTGATGAACCGGTGGGGCCTACACAGATAGCGAATTAGTTGAAGAGACAGCATATAAGGACATGGTAGTGCTGTCCCACCTCAGAGCTGGCTCCCCTCATCCTGCAGTTAGGGAAGTCGGTTTCATGAGCCAAAGGACTGGAGGACATGAGCCAACGCCCCTCTTTGGGACTCCACTTCCGATACAGGTGGAAGAGGCTGATTAGGCACTGAAGTGATCATTCCAGAAGATGGGGTTATAAATAAGAGATGTAGACAGGCTATGGTAATGGGCTACATTTGAAGACAGCAGGTTGTAATTAAGTTAAGCTATTAATGACTATTGTATCCAGCTTTTATAGTTATATTCCCAGACCAAAAAACTGCATTAAGATGGAGTTAAAGTAGAGTCTGAGTAACTTTTTCATGAAGCAGAAAAATATCACAAAGTTTGAAGTGAACTAAATTCAAATTGGAAATAATACAGAGAGTAATTATCAGAAGAGCTGACCAAGGAATGTGGTGAATTCTGCATCACTTGGGAGTCTTTAATTCAAGATTTGGATGTCTTGCTACAAAGATGTGTTCCACTTCATCCATATGTTAGATTAAATGCAAAAATCAGAAGGTGAAATCTATGGCCAGTGTTATACAAGATGCCAGACTAAAGTATCACAATGGTCCCTTCCAGCCATAAAATTTAACCAATCCTCTGTTGCTCTGTACAGTCATTTTCAGCCATCCAAAGTGGGTGTCAGATGCTACTGACTTAGAAAGATAGAAAGTACATCAACTTTGTACTCACTTTGCACTGGTGTAAAATATTAGGATGCATAAGAAATTGGATTAAAAATACCACGGAAAATGTTTTAGTACCATTATATCAATCAATGCTATGCTGTCATACAGAATGCTATGCTCATTTCTGGTCACCCTATCTCAGAAAGGATATAGCAGAAGAGGGGTTCAGAAATGGGTGATAAAAATAAACAGGCATGGGAAGATTTCTATATGAAGAGAGATTAAAACTATTAGGACTCTTTACTTTAGAAAGGAGATGAGTAAGTGGGGACATGTTAAAGGTATACATGGCAAGAAAAAAGGGACTTTAAAGGCAGCAGATTTAAAACTTGTAATAGGAACAATTTTTGACCCAATTATATTTAACCTATGAAGTTCATTTCCGTGAGATATTAATGGGGCTAACAATGTAATATTAAGAATGATTGGACTTTTATATGGATAAGAAGATCTTCCAAAGTTAAGTAGGCAACAATATATTGGATATGAATCTGTGTACTTTGGGGTATAAGGCAACCTGTAGGTGAAGAAAAGTTAGGACTAAACTTCCCTCTGATCTAGTTATTCCATTATGCGCTTTCTTGCACTTTCTTCTGAAGCATCTAGTGCTGGCAACAAGTTACTTGACTAGATGGACTGCTGGACTAGTATGGAAATTGCTATGTCCGATATCCTGAGCTAAGATAGTTGAACTGAAAGAAAGTAAAGAGAAAATGGTTTTTCTTTGTTCAGTCGTTTACTTTGTGTATTTGACCATCATCTGTGTAGTCACTGTTTCTCCTGGGCAGTCAGTTACTCCCTTCCAGAAATCACTTACAGATATCCACATAATGACTTTTTTTGAAAAAATAATTCTTATTTTAAATAAATTAAAAAGCCACTTTCAGGGAGACCATCTTTACCTGGTATGCCATAAAGCTGGAATTTTAAAAAGTCGTTAAAGTCACGTGATCGATGTCCCTTTAATTAATGCTCAGTTAAGAAAGGTTGTGATACCCCCATCTACAGGTGCCACAACTTGCCAATGCAGCATGCAGTATCAATACAGCCTCTCTAGTCATACAATTAACTAGCCTGTAATTATATTCTAGAACTGATTTGACTGATTTATTATTTATTTAATTTTAGGGTAGCACAAAAAGGCCACTACCAGGTTGGGCCCCATTTTGTTAGGCACAGTGCAAACACTGTAAACAATAGTCCTTGCCCCCAAAGAGCTTAGCATCTAAAAGACAAGACATAACGGGGCAGAGACAAACAAGTGGGCCAGGATGGAGGGAAGGGGAAGCAGGACAACAAACCTAAGACGGTATGCACAGTTTTTAGCCCTTCAGGAGCAGTGATGACAGCACTCTCCCTGACTAGCCACGATTGGGCTTCAGTATTCTGTATATATTATGGCAGAGAGTTCTGAGGAGGGATGTGAAAAAGGACAATTTGGTGGCTTTATGGATTTTCCCTGGGAGCTTGGCAATAAGATAATAGATTGATGGGGTGGGGTTGAGATTTTTTTATGCTCTGAGACATCAGTGCATGTTTGCATTGTGAGTGGAAGGAACCTGAGGAGAGTGAGAAGCTGAGAAGGAGGAGAGAAGGGGTGAGTCAGCCTAAGAGATGGGAAGGGATGGGAGGGCAGGGGCAGGTGGAGGGGTTAGAAGAAAGCAGGGAAGCTGTCTCAGCCTCTGTGATAGGGGAGAGGGAGGAGCATGTGACGGAGTGGTGTGATAGGGATGGTTTCGTCAGATTTTGTCAAGTTGTTTTCCTTTGAAGAAATCAAGAAGATTCTATGGGGAGATATGCATTCATATTCAATTTGTCATTCACCAGCACTCCTAAGTCTCTTGCTTAATGACTGTGTTTATGAATAGACTCTCTTAATTTTATGGCTATGTTGTAAGTAATTCTTCTGTAGGATCCAGTATAAAAAAGTCAGATTATACAGCCTTAGTGACTGAATTACTCTAACCGCAGAACGCATAAAGTACTACTGGTAAGCTAATGTGACATTCCACCCATGTGTCTCAACCCTCACCTACAGGGACCACTTCTGGAGGAGAATTAGTAGTTCAGTACCTGCTCCTATTTGTACTTAGTTTATCTGCTGAAAATGCCAATCACTGCCAGATGTGTTGGCAGTTTTGCGGTTTGGACACCTGTTCACTAAGAACTGTTTTTTCTTCTGGCTAGGAACAGATGCCACAAACTTACTTTACATAAGCCACTAAAGAATCATTGACATTTGGTTATTAACCTTAGTTGGATTGGACCTGGTGCCCTAGAAAGGCTCCCAATTTCTGAGGCATCCAGTCTCCAACTAACTATATGAAAGTCCTCCAGGATACACATTTCATTTGTTTGTTTTACTTCAAAATATCAAGTAGATTTCCAAAACTTGAGGTCTTTACTAAGTCAAACTCCCATAGGAATCAATTTCCCTTTGACTCAGATTCTGTTGGACTCACCTTGACTAGCACCTCACTTCACAAGTACCCCACAAGTGAATGGGACTATTTGTGGAGTGACATAAGACTCTGGCTCTTTGTGAATACATTCTGATTCATTCCACCAGTGCATAATAAATATACCAGAAGATCTCAAAGATAATAAAAGGCACTTAAATCTTGTGTTTCAGGGCACATCTACATGGGTCAGGAAAGAATTCCTCTCTCCTTCCATCATCAAACTGCACAGTTGGTGAGATGTGTTAGGCTTTTTTGGGAGGGCCCCCCTTGGACACATCAGATATTGGCCACTAACGTAGGCAGCATCCCAGACTTGATGGACCAATAGTCTGTTTTTATTATATTACAAATCCTGTGTTCCTATGAGAGTCTTATGTGGCAAAAAGAACAGGAGTACTTGTGGCACCTTAAAGACTAACAAATGTATTAGAGCATAAGCTTTCGTGGACTACAGCCCACTTCATCAGATGCATAGAATGGAACAGATAGATAGATAGATACACACTTTGTATGGCAACTTCCAACTTATCTGTATGTATATACGTATCTTCTTACTCTATGTTCCATTCTATGCATCTGATGAAGTGGGCTGTAGTCCCCGAAAGCTTATGCTCTAATACATTTGTTCTTTTTGCAGATACAGACTAACACGGCTGCTACTCTGAAACCTGTTATGTGGCAACCATTCCTGCTGTCTGAGTGCCTCACAGTCCTTAACATATTTATCCTCACAGTACCCCTGAGATGTAGACCAACACTCTTATGGCTGTTTTACCGACAAGGAGCTGAGGCATAGAGGGTATGTCTACACAGCTCGTGGCAGTGAGCCTCCCAGGCTGGGTCGACAGATTTGGGCTTGAAGGGCTCATGCTATTGCACTAAAAGTAGCTGTGTAGGTGTTGTGGCTCAGGCTCTGGGAGCCTAAGGAGAGCAGTGGACTCCACAGCCCAAGCTGCAGCCTGAGCTGGAACTTCAAAGCACTGTGTACACATCTGTTTAAAATGGCAGCACAAACCCCGTGAGGCTGAGTCTGTTGACCCAAGCTGCTGTGGGCTGCGTAGACATATCCAGAGATCGAGTAACTTGCCTTAGGTCACATAGCATGTCTGAGGCGCAGCAGAAAATTGAACCCAGGTCTCCTAAGCCTCTGAATAGCACCCTTCCCCTCTTAAATTTCTTAAAAGAAGGAACCAGAGACCTATTCAAATTACAGATGCAAATCATTATTTCCCACCGACTTAGTGAGATAGTGAAAGTGTATGCATTAGAAATGTATGTATTTAAGTTCTTGTACATTTTGCTTTATGCATTCATCTCTCTCCAAAATCTCACGGACGTTCACTCCCTCTCCCACTAGGGCTCAGAGATAATTTAATGCATAACAGATTGGCTTGATTTAGAAATCTCACATATTCCTCTTGCTTGTAGGAGAAATGAAATTAATATAGAATTACCATACAAACATCAAGTAACAATGTAAGTACTAGCATAAATGAATTCACTTACCTTAGGTACAAAAACAAGGCAGAGTGTAATGGTACTGCAGAATATAATGACTAAAGCAACAATGCAGAATTGAACATTGGGCTGGTCCCGAGTGAGGAATGAAACTGCAGCTCCAATAATGCACATGATCCCCACGTTGTATACGCTCATCCCGATGTATTTGCTGTCATTCAAAGCAGGAATGCTGACATTTCGAGTCTCCCATGCTAAAAAACAACCAAATAACTGAAATGGCAAAAAGAAAAGGAAAAAAGGTCACTGTTATAACACAATACCACTAGTTTACATGAATCAAAAAAGTAGTTTTTATTACAAACTGTTATATATTTGGGTATGGTATTTCTCTATGAGCAGTTTATGGATTGTTGACAGATCAATACAGCGTTAGGAACCAGAGATACGAATGTGCACAGCACACGATATCTAATTCAAAATACACTAACTTCTATCAGTAACTACAAAAATTAGATTTATACTGCTAATCCAACTCTCAAGAGATAAATGTGAAAACTATATTAGCAATCAGAAGAGATGGGACTGAACTTCCCCAAAGTTCAGGGTAGTTTGAATCTAGGCCCATCTTTAGCCATCAGTAAAGAAATATCATTACTGCTTTCATTCAAGGATTTCATTAAAACCCAAAGGCTGAAATTCTGCAGCCTTCCCCTGTTGCTAGTTAACGTAGCTAATCTGGTAGCTCAAGTAGTAGCAGTCTGTGCTGCAATGTCCTTGATGATGATGGGCTGTGGAGGGTGGAGGCTTACAGTTACAGTTCTGACCATGTAATTAAAAAGTGTCTTATAATGCATATGCATAAGGGGGCTGAATGAAGATTGCAGAGAAAACCTTAATATGAAGGTTGATTACCTGTATCCAGTTCTTCAAAATGGACTCTGAATATTCATACTCTTGAATATGTGCTGACTGGTGTCACTGAATGGTGCAATCTTCCACTAGCAGTGCCTAGTCAAACACTCACATGCCCCTTTCTGCCCCTACCCTCAGCCACCGAGCATTATTCTGAGGACGAGGCTATCAAAGGGAGGGAGGCAGCGGTTACCACCTCAGTTCCTTCCACTACTAATGCTGAGCCAGTAGAAAACAGGACCCCACAAAACAGAGGGAGGGCAGGGCATGTGAATATGCTGAATCCATCTCAAAGAATCTCAGCTACTGGTAAGTAACGTTAATTTCTTCTTTGACTGTCCTCTGCATAGTCCCTCTCCTAGTATAGTTTAGTCCATAGTATGCATTTTAAATTTAATGGTGGGTATGGAGCCCTAACTAAACAAGGACTGAAGCACAGATCTGCCAACTGTGCATCTGACCATATATAACAAATAATGTTTAATGAATGTGTTTTGACTCCACATGGCTGCTGTACAGACTTCTAGTAGTAGAACATGTCTCCAACACCCCACCAATGCTGCCATCACCCTAGTGGAGTGTGCTTACAGCAGAAGAGTGGGAGATCGTGATGCACTCTCATAACTTTCTATTATACCCTGTCTGACCCATCTTGATTATGTTTGTGCTGATGCAAGATTTCCTCTATAGTTACCAGCATACGAAACAAGCAATTTATGCAAAGACCTAAAGTCCTTGTTCCTATTGAAACAGAATGATAAAACTCTTTTTGCATCTAAACAATGCAGCTTTGATTTGCTTTTACTCAAATGAGGTCTGGGAAGAAACACTGGCAGACTAATGGACTGACTGACATGGAACTCAAGTGATTTTTTTTTGTATGAATCTAGGATATGGATGAAGGTCATAAATAGAGTGCCAGCCATTAAGGCATGAAGTTTACTAATCTTCCAACCCGATATTATTTCTATAATAAAAGCAGCCTTAATAGACAAAATAAGGAACATGAAGAAAAAGCCTCAAAGGATGGAGACATAAGCTGTGATTGTATTAAGTCCAATGGTGCAATAGAACCTCTTACTGGGGGTACAAATTTAGTAATCCTTTAAAAAACTTAACATCATGTGAAAATATTGCTTTGAATATGAGAAGTTGCTGTTGCAGCTACACATACTTTTAAATACTTTAAATATGCTTTAAATATAACAATTACTCTAATACAGTTTGAATAGGGCTGACACAGGATTTATATCCCTATCAGATAGCCACGGCAAAAATCTTTTCCATTTTAACTTATAATAACTTGTCTCTTGAGAAACGTTGCTACTATGGACAGACATCTGGTAAAGAGATGGGATCCTGAGGAAAGGCCAAAAGGGGAGAACGCTGAACTGGAAATGGTCCTACCCTATGGCAAAATGAAGGTACTTCCGGTGTGATGGTCTTATTGAAATATGAAAAGAAGCTTCTTTGAGATGGAGAGCAGTAAAGCAATCTAGAGAAGACAGGGAAGGAATAATGGAAACTAGAGTCAACATTCTGAAATGCATCCATCAAAAATACTTGTTTAGTTTCCTTAGATCCAAGATGGGATGAAGTCCTCCATTTTTCTTTGGAAATGGGAAATAGCAGGAATAGAACCCTTGATTCCTGAAATTTATTGGAACCTCCTCTATTGCTCCCTTTGTTTACAGAGAATTGATTTCCTATCTTAACACAGTCATGAGAAGCGTACCCGAAAAAGGAGGGTGTGGGAAGTTGGTTTGGGGTGAGTGTGTTGAACTGGATGGAGAAACTGTTCTTTATAATGTAAGAACCCATCTTTCTGTGATGCTCTTTAGCCAGTTGCTCTAACATTGGCTTAAACAGTCTCCAATTGTAAGGGAAATAGAAGCTAAGATTGGTTTGCTGCCCTGAATACCACTCCAAACCTGCATCAGCAGGCAAAGAAATGGTTGTGGACAAAGTCTTCTGCTTCATTCTGGCTTTACATAGTAATCTCTTATATGACTGAGACGTAGCAGTTATTGCTGCTGTTGTTGGTAGTGATGTCTACCTTTGTTGAAATAAGAAGGTAGGTAGTTAGCTATTCAGATGTTTAGAGAGGAAGAAGAGATTAGCTTTCTTCCTAGAGAATCTAGTCTTTTCCCTTCTCTATTGCTAGGAGTAGAATGTACCTCCTGATCTTGATCTTTGCATTGTTGCCACCACTACTAGAGAATTTGGTGAAGGATGTCCATGAAAAAAAGAAAATTCTACATATGGAATCTGGTAAAGCTTATCTATCTTGTTTGCAATTGGCTGTCAAGACAATGGGTATTCCATATTAATTTTGCCGGTTGCCATACTCTCTCCAACAGTGGCAGAGAAACTTTATTTGTAGAAGTGTTTCCAGATATATCAAAAATGGGATGCACAGTTTCTTTTAGTGAAAATGAAGGTTATTTCAATGTAGAAACCATTCTGCTGATTAATTCCTGGGAATGAATGGCATCCTCTGAAGGAGAAGGAGTTGAGGCTACTCCCACATTTTTGTCTGGAGAGGATTCACCCACAGGTTCCTGGTCATGGGAAAGATGTCTGTAGAGAAACCTCTACCTTCTCCTCTTCATCATATAATTCATCATTAATTAGAGTAGGGGACTTGTATCCCACCACTGGATCCATTAGTGTAGGATCCAAATATCTTGGATTGGAATGTGCTCAAGCGGATGTGTCCGATCCATATAACTTGGATCTGGATGTCACAGATGCAGAAAGACCTCACCAGATTGATGGTGAACAGAAGGCCTGGCCCTGGATGGAAGTTGATATGGAAGGTCTGGAGCTGACCAGTAAGGTCAAGGAATTCATGGAGGCACTTGCCAGTCCTGCAAATTTTGAAAGTTTGGTATCATGGCAAAACCAGGGGGATACCTGGGATTGTAGTAGTCTGTGTCCAATGGAGGTCTCTGAGATTGTGGTTCCGGATTATCCATTGGATCCAGTTGTTCGTCTGAATGTGGATCTGAGCCCAGATCTGACAACAAAATGATTTGGGTGGGGGGACTACTGAGAGCAGTATTCTTAACATGGACATTGGAGAAATCATCTGAGGAGAGTCCGAAGGTGTCTTGGGTGGTGGAGGTAACATCGTCAATGGGACATCTGATTTCTTTTTCTTGTGAGAGTGTGGGGATGGATTCCTGTCCAATCTTCTTTTCACTGTTGCTATCATAGAATCCACTGGAACTGATTAGTGTGGTTCTGCAGACACTTGTATGTCTGCTGCATTTGATTTGGTGAGTCTCCAGACAGGTGTTTAGTCTTTGCTTTTTTTCTTCCTTGGAACCGAGGGCTCTGGCTCCATGGAAGTTCTTGGCATCAATTGTTTACCTTCCATGTCTGATTTCCTTGATACTGGTACCTTCTTTGGTAGGGGGGGGGAGGGGTGTGGTCAGATGACTTTGTTACCAAGTGTTCAGTTTCTTTAGAACTGGAGTTTGTTGCTGAGAAGGATGGCTTATGTTCAAAATTCTTCCTGGAAACAGAAGGGCTCAGAGCTCACCCAGGCCTCATGTTTTTATCTTCCAGAGCCTTAGAAACTAAAGATCTGGAGGTTCTTGCTGACAAGACTTCTTGTAGAAGGAAGGCTTGGAGTCTCTTCTGCTTCTCCTTTCTGGCTTGCAGTATGAAAATGCTGCAGATTGAACAACAGGAAGGAGAATGTCCTTCTGCTAAGCACTTCAGGCAGCAAGCATGGGAGTCCACATCTAGGTAAACTGCCAGACACATCTCTTAAATCCATGCTTCCTGCTCTTCACATCCACCACAAGAACAACGAAAACTAATACTAACAATAAACATATTCTCTATAAAACAACCACCAAGGCACTGTAACTATCTGTCTAAAGAATCTTGATTTGTAGAAGGCTCATGACTGTTAGCAGTGGAAGGAACTGAGGTGGTAACCACTGCTGTGCCCCCTTTTATAGTCACACCTCAGAATGTGCTCAGAGGGTGAGGGCACGGAGGAGGATACAAGTGATTGACTAAGCACTACTAGTAGAAGGCTGCACCGTTCAATGGCACTGGTTGGTGCATATCCAAGAATGGGAATATTCAGAGGACACGCCAAGAAGAAACTGGCATTTCCTAACTTTTGAGTGCTTAACTTTGCATCCCTAATTATGTCCTTTTAACACTGTTCTTGTTTGTATTTAAAAATAGAATAATAAACACCTGCATGTTCATAATCAGAGAGAGTCGGTATTGTTACGATGACCATGTTCAATCCCACTGTTACTACACGAATACAATTACAATACCAAGTTACTATATTAGTTCCAAGCCAGAATCCTGTCACTTTAATGAAGAGA